AAACAGAGAAAAAGGAAACAAACTTTCAAATCTCTGAGCGTTCGTATTCAAACAGGGCGAATTGTTTTCCGTTTCGATTCGATTTGATGTCTTTGATACATCTGGTTTTGCTCGCCGGTTTACTGAGCCTTGTAACTGTCGCGTCTTCTTCTCCCGGCTCCCGTTCGATTCTCCGGGATATCCGCGGCGGTAACGCCGATCAGAAAGATAAAGCTGTAGAATTGAACTCTAGCAACTTCGATTCAGTTCTTCACGACACCCCCGCCAAGTATGCCGTCGTCGAGTTCTTCGCTCACTGGTCAGTCTCTCTCATTTTCCGAAACCCCAGAGCATTGAATTCGATTGCTTAGAATGAAATCTGTTTACAAAATTTCCAGTTTTTGGTTGGTGGGTTCTTCACTTTTTTCCACCTAAAGTTGGGTACTGGATCTAGCATGGAATTCTCTTAGAATTGTTCTTAACGGAAAATATTTTGAACTCCGTCACTGCTAATAGATAAGTGCTAAGGTTTTGTATTGATACGTGTATTTGTTTCCCTTTATTATAGGTGTCCTGCCTGTAGAAACTACAAGGTAAACTCACTATTCACTGCCTAATCTTTGGTTCTTCTACGCGTTCGTTCTCGGGAGAATTTTCATTGCCTAAACTGTTACTCTGCAGCCTCATTATGAGAAGGTCGCAAGACTCTTCAATGGACCAGACGCAATACATCCCGGAACTGTTTTGATGACGAGAGTTGATTGTGCAGTGAAGGTACTTACTCCATGGTCCTAGTTTAGCTACGAATCCTGTTGAACTATGTTGGTTTAGTTTCTGATGGTAAATTGGTCTGTATGATGACTTCCGTGGCAGCGCAGACGAATACCAAGCTCTGTGACAAGTTCTCTGTTTCTCATTATCCAATGCTCTTTTGGGGTCCTCCTACAAAGTTTGTCTCTGGCAGTTGGGAACCTAAAAAAGCAAAAAGTGAGGAGATACTTGTTATCGACGATGGCCGAACAGCTGAGCGCTTGCTCAACTGGATTAACAAGCAGATAGGCAGGTTTGTGCCATATATGCATCTGACTTTGAGCTTCAGTATTGGCTAAAAGTATATATAACAAATTCAAACATTTTACTAAAAGTATTGGAAATGTATCTATATTTTCCCTAAGCTAGTTTGCCAATATCAAATCCCTATCATATACATCCTACTTACTTCTGTTTTGTTTCTCAATATTTTGTAGTTCTTATGGCTTGGATGATCAGAAATTCGAAAACGAACATGTTATGTCAAATGTAACCGACTACAAACAGGTGTCAAGACTGCTCTCTGCCTAATTTTGCTGAGAATTGTTGTGTTTTGTTTAATATCAAACAGCTCAAATATAACTGGGTGTTGATTTGCGACAGATTTCTCAGGCAGTGTATGACATCGAAGAAGCAACCGCAGAAGCTTTTGATATAATTATAGAACATAAGGTAGAGAAATCCGTATGATTTTTTTCTTCTGAATTTGTATTATCTTCTTTCCATCGCTCAGTTTTTGGTAATCAACAAGTATTTCCGCGACATCCACAGGCCATTAAATCATCTGAAACAAGTGCTTCATTTATTAGATTTATCCAGCTTCTAGCAGCACATCATCCTTCCAGGAGGTATATTTAAGTATCATCATTATAGTGTCTTCATTTGCGTTTTGATGGTCATTCTTATGCCATACTAACTGTAGAGTATATATTCTATAGGTGTCGGAAAGGAGCTGCAGAGATTCTAGTGAACTATGATGATTTATGCCCTTCTGGTAAATGTCCTTACAAAGAATCTGGAGGGAAAGGTACCTTGGGAAATTTCCCTATTTGTGGAAAGGATATTCCTCGTGGATATTACGTGAGTGCTTGCTACCAACTCTCTTACTGTTTTTCCTTTTGATTATCCTAATCTCTTATTTCGCAGATGTTTTGCCGTGGCAGCAAGAACGACACTCGCGGATTCAGGTACTGTGTCAAAATTAGTTTTGTCAAATTTCATGCTGTGATCCTTCAATTCAATTTGGCCTGCTAGTATTCTGAACTCTTCCTTAAACTATTGAATGTAGCTGCGGATTATGGGTTCTGATGCATTCACTTTCCGTGAGAATTGAGGATGGAGAAAGCCAGTTTGCATTCACAGCAATATGTGATTTCGTCAACAACTTCTTCATGTGTGATGAATGCCGCCTGCATTTTAACGACATGTGCTTGAGGTAACATTTGTTCTGATCTTGGCAACTAATCAATTAATTACGGTCTTTACTCATCTAAACAATGCGTTTCTTGGATAGTGTAAAAACTCCTTTCAAAAAGGCACGTGATTTCGTTCTGTGGGTGTGGAGCACGCACAACAAAGTAAACGAGAGACTCATCAAGGACGAAGCTTCTCTTGGTACAGGTGACCCCAAGTTCCCAAAGATGATATGGCCACCAAAGGAGCTTTGCTCATCGTGCTATCTCTCGAGTAGCCAGAAAAAGGTAGAATGGGACGAGGACCATGTCTACAAGTTCTTGAAGAACTACTACGGGCCCAAGCTCGTCTCCCTCTACAAGGAAAAGAATGTCATGGGGAGCAAGAAAGAGACCATCTCAGCCACTGAAGACCTGACAGTAGCCACCAATGCTATGGTTGTGCCGATTGGAGCTGCATTGGCAATAGCCATCGCCAGCTGTGCATTTGGGGCGCTTGCTTGTTACTGGAGGACGCAGCAGAAGAACCGCAAGTATTTACTTCTATCTATCTGTTTATATCTAATGATACCTACCAACTCTCTTCCACATGTTTTTTCACTCATTCTCTGTCCAATCTCCTTATCTTTTCAGGCCGAGGAGAAGCTGGAATTGAACAAGTAGAAGCTCCTGATGTTTTCATAACTTACAGACAACAAGCACAAAGTCTCTTGTTTGAAGTTGAGACCCCAAGGTTGCCTGCTTCAGGTCTTTTCTTCTTAACTTTTTGTCTCTGGTTTGGAAATGATTGTACAGATTCTTGTCTTGAGTCTTGGAATACACACACAGACATGGTTAGTTAGAGTTGTCATGGTAGAATGTATCTTTCTTTGTCTCTCTGCAATGCAGATATGGGAAAACACTTGGTGGTGCGATAAGAAGAGAGCTTTTTGCCAATGAGATACCTTTTTTCTTTCTTTCAATATGTTAACCCAATCCAACATTTTACATGTATAAGTGAGAGATTATATATATATTTACAGTGACATTGACTTTTTGTGTGTGTGAAAGGAAGAAACAGTGTTCATTGCACTCCTATAATGTAAGATTGCGTTTGAGGCAAGTGCCATGAATGTGTTTCTTCATCAGATGAATCTTCTTCAGAGTCAGAGATTGCGTTTGAATAAATCTCTGACTCTGATATATGACAAAATTAGGCATTTGCCTAAGATTGCGTTTGAGGCAAGTGCTTAATTTTCTGGACACGCGTCATATAACAATTTGTCAGTGTCGTCTCTCTTTTTTTTTTTTCCCTTCCCTTCGATTAAGACCCAAAAAAAAAAGGACTGTTATTTTCTAAAGAAAAACATAAAAAGCCCGAAAAGACTTAGAATAAACCCCTAACCGTCAGATTAGCTTTTCAAATTTAACGGACAGGATTCATCATCGGCAAACGCAACGCAATAACCAATTGAAAAAAGTGACGTCAGTCTCCTTCGTCCTCCAACGTCTATAAAGAAGCACTGACACTCGTACGAACACGAATACTGTAACCACAAAATCTTTCGTAAACGAAGAGAGAAGAAAGAAAAAAACTCACAAAACTTCTTCTTCGGTTGCGCGATTGAAGCTTGAAATTGCATCTGTAAGATCATCTTCGATTAGGTCAATTTTTGTTTATAATCTGGTGTTATGGTACTTGATTTTGATCTCTGCTTGTTGAATCGAAGCTGTTTCGTTTGATTTTGCGTTTTTCCCCCCTCTCGCTTTCGTTTTGAGCGCGGAGAACTTGGATTGTTCTTCGTAGATGATCGATCTGTTGATTGCGTGATTACAGAATCTCTTCTTCGGTTGCACGATTGAAGGTTGAAATTGCATCTGTAAGATCATCTTCTCTATCGTTTCATTTTTTTTTCAATCTGTTTCATTCGAAATCCCGGTCGATTAGGTCAAGTTTTGTTTATAATCTGTTGTTATGGTGCTTGATCTCTGCTTGTTGAATCGAAGCTG